GGGAATTTTTAGAGGAATTTTGGGAATTTTTAGAGGAATTTCGGGAATTTTGGGGGGAATTTTGGGAATTTTTGGGAATTTTTGGGAATTTTGGGGGGAATTTTGGGGATTTTGGGAATTTTTGGAGGAATTTTGGGAATTTTTGGGAATTTTGGGGGAATTTTTGGGAATTTTGGGGGAATTTTGGGAATTTTGGGGAATTTTGGGAATTTTTTTGGGATTTGGGTGGGAATTTGGGGGAATTTTGGGGGGAATTTCGGGAATTTTTGGAGGAATTTTGGGAATTTTTGGGAATTTTGGGGGGAATTTTGGGAATTTTGGGGAATCTTGGGGAATTTTGGGAATTTTTGGGTGAATTTGGGGAATTTTTGGGAATTTTGGGAATTTTTGGGAATTTTTGGGAATTTTTCGGGAATTTTTTGGGGGAATTTGGAGATTCTGGGTTAGTTAGTGTTAATTAGGGTTAATTAATGCCAATTTTGGGGTGGTTTTGGGGAGATTTGAGGTGATTTTTGACGATTTTGAGTTAATTAGGGTCAAGTTTGGGTTTATTTTGTTTTAATTAGCATTAATTAGCATGAATGAGTGTCAATTAGTGTTAATTAGTACTAATTTTGAGGTCATTTTGGGCCATTTTGGGGCAATTTGAGGCGATTTTTGATGATTTTTGGGTTAATTTTGCTTTAATTTCAGGACAATTTTGCTTCAGTTACCCCTAATTAGCATTAATTAGTGTTAATTTTGGGGTGATTTGGGGCAATTTTGGGGCAATTTGAGGCGATTTTTGATGATTTTTGGGTTAATTTTGCTTTAATTTCAGGACAATTTTGCTTCAGTTACCCCTAATTAGCATTAATTAGCATTAATTAGTGTTAATTTTGGGGTGATTTGGGGCGATTTTGGGGCAATTTGAGGCGATTTTTGATGATTTTTGGGTTAATTCTGGTTTAATTTCAGGTTAATTTCAGTTTAATTAGCATTAATTATTAATTAGCACTAATTAGCAATAATTACTGTTAATTAGTGCTAATTTTGGGGTGATTTTGGGCGATTTGAGGCGATTTTTGGGTAAATTTCAGTTTAATACCAAAATAATTCCTTTTTAATTAGCACTAATTATTATTAATTAGCGCTAATCATTATTAATTAGCTCTAATTAGCATTATTTAGCATTAATTAGTGCTAATTTTGGGGTGATTTGGGGCGATTTGAGGCGTTTTTTGATGATTTTTGGGTAAATTTCAGTTTAATACCAGAATAACTCCTTTTTAATTAGCATTAATTATTATTAATTAGCGCTAATCATTATTAATTAGCTCTAATTAGCATTATTTAGCATTAATTAGTGCTAATTTTGGGTTGATATTGGGGCGATTTGAGGCGCTTTTTGATGATTTTTGGGTAAATTTCGGTTTAACACCAGAACAATTCCATTTTAATTAGCACTAATTACTATTAATTAGCGCTACTGATCATTAATTAGCGCTAATTAGCGTTAATTACCTTGCGGCCCAGCTCGGCCCAGCCCCAGGCCCGGATTTCGCCGTCGGCGCCGCTCAGGAGGAGCCGCTCGGTCGAGGCCAGCGAGTAAACGGGGCCCGAGTGCGCTGCGGGACCAGTATGGACCAGTATGGACCAGTATGGACCGGTATGGACCAGTATGGACCGGTATAAACCAGTGCGGACCAGTATAAACCAGTATGGACCGGTATGGACCAGTATGGACCGGTATGGACCGGTATGGACCGGTATAAACCAGTATGGACCAGTATAAACCAGTATGGACCAGTATAAACCAGTATGGACC